AGACAGGAATATGACAGGATTCATTATACAATAGCGCTCTTCACGGAGGCAAGGATACTTTAAGTTCGTATTTAGAGTGTAGAGATAAACGTAATGATTTTTAAGATCGTCCTTTAATAAAAGATACGGTGCAGAAAATTATACCAAAAAAGATATGAATAAAAAGAGACAAAATATATATACAACAGTAAAATAAAGGGGAATAAATAAGGTGAATACTTAACAGTCCTGGTTTTAGGAGTTCTGACAGAGTTCAATAAACAAAAGAGAGGTCTGAAGGGCTCTTCTTCAAGCAAGCTTTCAGCAGATGATGTCCAGAGATTACAGGGGAACTCTTCTGTGGTGTTAAGACTTCCTGATGTTGCTGGAGTTCCTTTCTTGATGTTTCAAAACAAGAGCTACCTCTAGCTGCCTTCAGCATCTTTTTGTTAGCCCTCTAGGGGGTGTCACGGAGCCGGCCAGTGGGGCAGGGCTGGCGATGGAAAGCAGGAGGAGGATGAGCCTTTATTTTACACTATCACCGCCCAATTCCAAATTATGAAATGCAGCTCATATTGTAACTCAGGTTTATGACTTTCGGGTGAATGCTGGGTCACCTGGGTCATTACCTCTACCAGACCTGCTTGTGTTTATCAACTTGTGCACTGGTAATAGATGAATGCCTGGTGAGATGCTTTTAATTAGGGACAGCTATAAAAGGTTTTAAAAGGTTGTTTTTGCACTCTCACTGGTGCTGGGCAATAAATATCACAGGTCAGATATGCAGATCTCTGTTCTGTGGAATGTGGAGGGACCTGGCAAATGACTAAATGAAGGCCTGTATTTGCTCTGAACTGGGGGACAAGAGAATACTATATTTAATTATTATCAGACTCAAACCCCATTATCGTCACACCCGGAACATAGTGGACCTGAGGAGCAAGTCTGCTGAGAAAATGTGCTCATCCCTGCTCATCTGCTACTCAAATTCCTCTCCACTAAGCTACAAATGGATCTACATTGAATTGCTGGAAGGGACTGGTGAGTCTGGAGTTTGTCTGTACTGCCCTGGATGTCTAGAATCCCTATATGTGAGAAGATGTTAATAAAGTTATTTAGCTTTATACTTCTGGAGTGGTTTTCAGCTTTGTGGGCACTGGAATAGGGCGGTTAAATGCTATTGGGGCAGCTAAAGACCAAAACCCCTAGACAGACTAGTGATGACCCCGGTTATTCTGGCGGCTCCTTCGTGGGTGAGCGCTACATTTGGGGGCTCATCCGGGTGAGTGCTACATAATAAATTAAATTGTTTAAGGGTATTACACTTTGTGAAGTTTGAATTGTTTCTACATTGCCCGAATGATGGAGAAGATTGGGGAAATGTACACCATTGACACTGATGTTTTATCAAACTAAGCGTTTTTGACCTGAAAACATAGTAGGGTAATTTACTATGGTGTATCTGTGAGCACAGTTATGAGTTATAGAATAGCTTTCTGGAGAGATCTCACATGGAGATATTTTTGATTTACAAAAATGTTGATTTTAGTTTTCAGCATTAACAGGAGAAGGGTAACAAAAGAGAGATGCTGGTGTACACTCTGGATTGCAGAGTAAGAAACGGCAATGGTTATAATGCATTTTTTTTTTTTAGCATATCAATTTTTATTGTTATTATTGCAGGTTACATAGTGATGAGACATTTTCATGAAGAAGTCAGAATGTGTTCACAACATGTGGTGAGGATAAAATACAGGACCATATACATTGCCACAATGTTAACTTGTGTGGGTGGCATAGGGAACGTCACCTTTAGATATGTAGTCCATACATCTCAATGTGAAAACAGGAATATGGAAAATCATCAATTCAAAGAACGGTTAAGATAGAGATAGACATCGATACTGTAACTGGTCATGGATCACTCAAGAGAGTGTTCTGTTGGAAGGAATCGCTGGGTTGGTGGAGGGGGGAGAAGGGGGGAGTTCGTAGAACCACTTTTGTGTTGAGAGGGTCTGGGGAACGTCAGGGAGACTTAGGGATTTATAATGCATTTTACATCTCAATAGAGCAACAGTGCGAAACAACTGCCCAAAGACTGTCAAGTAAACAAACCAAGTGTAGGAGCCATATGCCATATGCATAATCAACTGAATCATACACTTTAAGGTGGTCATACACTTTACAACCCTCGCAAGACTTTTGTCATAATTTAAAAAACGTACGATCTGCCCATCTTGGACCGGCAGATCGTACTTGCGATCATCGCAAGCCCGCCCCCCTGAGGGGCGGGTGTTTCCAATGACTGCAATGCTGAATGGGCAGTGTGCGCGTGCGCACACCGGCCCGTTCGGCAGTTGTCGAACAAGCAGGTTGCTGAATGGTGCAAAAACGTGCTTGTTGACATCTACAGGGCCAATGCTATGCAATTCTGCCCCCCAAAAGCTCATTTAATGTTTTGTACGATAAGCGGCAGCACGATGCTCAGGTGCGAATGGACCCCATTAAATATAATAGGGATCTTCACAGTAATCATTGCCGTGCTTTGGGAACTGTGCAACACTTTGCTGAAGTGTGCTGCATTTTCCTCTACATTAAAGCTGGCCATACACAGTTCTATTTTTTTTGTTCAACCTGGTGGCTGAATGAAAAACATAGAACAGATTCCTCTATCATCGGGCGTTGATTGAGAAATCTCCAGCTGTCTTCGTTATATTCTGACAGTGGCCGCCGTCAGAATACCTGAACAGAGCCGACAGCTCATTGGCTTCCGCCTCCATTTGCTGGAAGATTTTCTGACCGCCTCCGTTGATCAACTTCATCAAGAACAGTCCGAAATTTGCATAGTGTATGGCAGAGGCGTAACTAGAAACCCCAGGGCCCCGGTGCAAGAAACCATTGAGGCCCCCCCCAAGTGGCCGAACGCCAGGGCCCGGTCGCAATTGCGACCGCTGCGACCCTGGTAGTTCCGCCAGTGGTGTATGGCCACCTTAACTCTCATTATCTTTATTAACTCCTTCATTCTATTCCCTTAGCTTTTTGTTGTTGCTATTGTAGTACCAAAATTAGTCCCCGTTCACACCTAGACACTTTGTAGCTCAAAGACTACAAGACACTGAACACCAAGAATCCCATTGTTTTCTATGGCCCCTGTTCACACCTCAGTGTTCTGTCACCTGTAGCAAAACACCTGTTGCTGGAAAAAGTACACAGGCTACTTTTGTGCACGTTTCTGTGCTTTTGGCCCTATAGATTGCCATGTATACATGTGGCACAAACGTTTTCGCGCGTTTCGGCGCACAAGCACAATTTAACAGCTGAAAATGCGTGTAAAAACGCCTCAAAATGCTTGACAAACGCCCGTAGTTGTGCCACAAAATGCACAAAAACTGTAGACCAATCGTGCGTGGAGGTTTAGGGAAAGGAGCTACAAGACGACCCGGGTGTGAATAGTAAAGATTAAAGAGTTGGGGGGCTCTTTGGCATCTGCGCCTCAGATGCCATTCGTCCTGCCCCGCCACTGTAACGCGCAGGACAAGCGGCAGTTGTATAAATAGACATTATGGGAATGGGAAGGTGATAAGGATTATCAGGCTTCACCTACACATCCTTTGTCTCTGAAGGAAGCCAGTTTCATTAATGAGAGGCTGAGGATTGTGCTGTACAGTTTATGTGACATTTCCTCCCTCAGGGATAAGCCCGCGAACACTTCCTCCGTCAGCAGTGTGATATATAGACTGTATCAGTCAGCCCTACCACACATGTAAGCTCCCCTCCCGCGCTGTGTGTGACCGAGGGCGGCCACACTCCGGGGACAGCCCTCCACCGGCCGGCACGCCTTTTCCAGAGGTTTTCCCTTATTAAAAAAAAATAACATGGGACCCCGTTCAAGTCAGCAGGCAGTCGGCTTGTCCGAGTTGACAGAAGACAGGGCACGGGAGGGGGCAGGACCAAAGCAGGTAGACACACACAAAACAGCCAGAGCTTTCTTCCATGCTTTACAAAGCCCGTAGCTGGCTGCACTCAGGAGTCTGAAGTCATAGAAGTTCTTTGAGCAGACAAGCTCCACGTTGACAGAGCGGTGGTGGCTTAGAGCTCTTCTTCCTTCCGTGACCTTTGCCTACGTGCCTTTCCTGTTGCTGAGATGACAGACGACAAATCACCCGGTGAGCAGGCACCGGAGGGTGACGACGTGCCCGGTTACAGCCCAGAAGAAGACACGGCAGCCGAGGAGAGCTCACCTCTCAACGTGGAGGAGAAGAAGGAGAATGGGGAGTGGAGCTCTGTGCCCGGAGACCCAGAAAAGAAAGTCTGTCCTGGAGATGAAGGATCCCCTGACACCCCCCCAGCAGAGACAGAGTTTGTACCCCCAGAAGGAGGCTGGGGGTGGATAGTCATGCTCGCCGCCATGTGGTGCAATGGCGCAGTGTTTGGCATCCAGAACGCCTGCGGGCTCATCTTCGTGGTCCTCATGGAGAAGTTTGGCTCTAAGGATGATCACCATTTGGCCTTTAAAACAGGTGATTTGGGCTTTTGAGCACAGGGTTGCTCATCAAATGAAAATGTACCTAATTGTGGGCACAGAGTTACTCCATTTACAAAATTGTAGCCACAGGGTTACTCATCCCATGTCAATTTACAAAATTGTGAGCACAGGGTTACTTATCAGATGTAAATCTACAAAATTGTGGGTACAGGGTTACACATTCCATGTAAATTTACAAAATTGTGAGCACAGGGTTACTCATCGGATGTAAATTTACAAAATTGTGGGTACTGGGTTACTCATCAGATGTAAATTTACTAAATTGTGAGCACAGGGTTACTCATCAGATGTAAATTTACTAAATTGTGAGCGCAGGGTTACTCATCGTATAGCAGAGCATGTGGAGCAACGTGACGGCTTTACTGACTGGGGTAACTTTTGGCACGGGCTGAAGGAATACGTTGACAGAGCGGTGGTGGCTTAGAGCTCTTCTTCCTTCCGTGACCTTTGCCTACGTGCCTTTCCTGTTGCTGAGATGACAGACGACAAATCACCCGGTGAGCAGGCACCGGAGGGTGACGACGTGCCCGGTTACAGCCCAGAAGAAGACACGGCAGCCGAGGAGAGCTCACCTCTCAACGTGGAGGAGAAGAAGGAGAATGGGGAGTGGAGCTCTGTGCCCGGAGACCCAGAAAAGAAAGTCTGTCCTGGAGATGAAGGATCCCCTGACACCCCCCCAGCAGAGACAGAGTTTGTACCCCCAGAAGGAGGCTGGGGGTGGATAGTCATGCTCGCCGCCATGTGGTGCAATGGCGCAGTGTTTGGCATCCAGAACGCCTGCGGGCTCATCTTCGTGGTCCTCATGGAGAAGTTTGGCTCTAAGGATGATCACCATTTGGCCTTTAAAACAGGTGATTTGGGCTTTTGAGCACAGGGTTGCTCATCAAATGAAAATGTACCTAATTGTGGGCACAGAGTTACTCCATTTACAAAATTGTAGCCACAGGGTTACTCATCCCATGTCAATTTACAAAATTGTGAGCACAGGGTTACTTATCAGATGTAAATCTACAAAATTGTGGGTACAGGGTTACACATTCCATGTAAATTTACAAAATTGTGAGCACAGGGTTACTCATCGGATGTAAATTTACAAAATTGTGGGTACTGGGTTACTCATCAGATGTAAATTTACTAAATTGTGAGCACAGGGTTACTCATCAGATGTAAATTTACTAAATTGTGAGCACAGGGTTACTCATCAGATGTAAATTTACTAAATTGTGAGCGCAGGGTTACTCATCGTATAGCAGAGCATGTGGAGCAACGTGACGGCTTTACTGACTGGGGTAACTTTTGGCACGGGCTGAAGGAAATACCTATCTGCCATGCTGCTCACCAGTACATACTGATAGCTGAAGAAAGTTTGGAGTCTAAGTGATACCCTTTGTTGGCTAACTTAAGTTATAGAAGATGCAAGCTTCCACTTTTCTTGGCCAAACGTCATAGCCCCCTATTTGTCAGCTGCATTCTCACTTAAAATATACATTTAAAAAAGTTGCAAGCTTTTGGAATGCATTAGGTCCTTTCATCCGGCTTTATGCATTTCTGAAACTGGTTCTGAAACCTCCATATTGATACACATGGTTAGAAGGAAGAACAATGAAATGCTAGTATTTCTTTGTTCCTCCGTGTAGCTCTCTCTATATAAACATGTAGGTTTCAGAACCATTTTCACAAATGTATAAAGTCTGACAATGGGATCCTGAAAGCTTGCAATTCTCAAATCTTGATGCGAACCTTTACCCATTTCAAAAACTTTCTCTTCTAGTTCCCCTCCTATCTCTTACAGAATTGCAAAACATTTTAAAAGAATGGTACCTTTTTTGTGCTGCAGAGCAACACTTCCCCAGCTAGGAGGAAATTATATAGGGATACCACAATGCCTTAGAGATCCCACACGTGTGCAGATGTGCCGCAGGCCGCTGCCAGGTATTCAGGACATCTGGTACATTTGCACATGCACACAGATGTGGGTCTCTGCAAGGTCCCAGAAAATCGGTTTGTGCTGCAAAGATGTGCCTGGCAAAAACTTGCCGGACATCTGCGGTTGTGCAGGATGTTTAAAGATGGTGGCAGGAGGCAAATAGTAATGGGGTGAAGTTCCTCTTTAAGTTAACCAAAATCACTTAAATGTCAAACTTTCTGCACTAATCAATGGCTAAAACAGAACAATACTCTACTACATATCGCTAGGGACAGTGAAAGTTTTACACCTAGTCATCATACTATGAAACACTCAACCACGCACTTCCTCAGATATGATACAGTATAGGACAGCTTTTCTTCAGCTTTTTTTTTTCCTAGAGGACCCCTTGAAATAATTTTCAGGTGTCCGGGAACCCTAAAAAATTATGAAACCTACAGCTCACAGAACATAAGCGCGATCAAAATGTTGTAGAAAGTTTTAAATGATAGAATAATGCTGCATACCTATCATACTTGACAACCAGGGCAGATCATTTTTTACCCCTCCACTCCTGCACTATACAACCTCAATGAACCGTTAGCAATCTCAAGAGGAGCCTAGTGTTGAGAATAGCTGGTATAGGACATGGAAACTGCACACATGTACAAAAAAAAGCTAAGAAAAAAAGCACGTAATTGTCATAGTTTTGTTTTTAAAGGCAAAGTCCACTTTTTGGGGGTAAAAAAATAAAACATGCACACGCATTGATTAAAGAAAAAATGTGCACAGAATCACTGAGGATATGTTTGTTTTAAATGGCCAAGCATGCAAACTGTAACCCAAACACTTGTATTTTTTAAAATGAGAGCACAGAAAAGGGCCCTAAATCTCTTTTGCTGATTTATAAATAGTATCATTTTGATGTCATTTGTTTTCTGCTGGGAAGGATAGTGGAATGTTAATGAATGTTTTCATCTGCCTGCAGTAGTGTTTTTCATATTCAGCATCAATCCGGTCTCGTTCAGTACCATCTATTTGAGGCAATGGGACTGAATTAGCAAACTCAAGTGAGATGTAAGGAGGTGAAGTAAACCTGTGTTTACTTCAAACATCCATTTGAATACAGAGTATTTAAAGGAAAACATATGAAATGCTTCTGCACATGGTTGGCTGCTTAAAGTGAACAGAGGCTCACTTCACCTCACTTATAGTAAATCAGCTCCAATTAATTTCATGCATATATACTAATGTAAAATAAACGTTACTGTTAACGTTTTTTGTAATACCACCATATTTTTACAAATGTAGGGCACTTTAATCCTCATATAATCTGGGATTCTGGCATGCTGTTACATCATAACCTGTCATAAGCAGCACATGAGCTGACACATCGGTGTTGATTGAATAAAGCAAAGCGAATGTTCATTCAGCAGAGTGAATAAGGTAAACCCATGTTTGTTTCAATCACCCGATCATGTGCACCCAAAAGTCCTGCACATGTCAGCATTCAAATTGAACACAACTTCAACTCATTTATTAAGCTAAGGTAACATTCACTTTGCCTAGTGAACATGCACTTTACTAAGTATAGAGCCTCTACTGCTTAAATAAAAATCACCATTATGTTTATCCTTTTCTTTGTTTATTTTTTTATCTTTTCCCCCTGCTTTTTCTCTTTTATCAACTATATGGAAATGCCTGTAAGAAGATTCAGCTAAAAGAGGAAATTACATCATTTATACCAGTTTTATGATAACACGTTGCACACTGTCGTGCATGGTAGGGCTGAAAGCTTTTCAACACACTTTAACTTATGCTTAGGCTATCCAAGCATTAATACTGCACAGCAAGCAAAAGTCACTAAGTCTTCATGGGATAAGAACAGACAGATAGTTTCTCCATGACTCTTTTGTTCTGAGGAATGTCAGCAGTGTCTTCCTATTTCTCAACTGTATATTGATCTGCTTGCTTCGCTGCAGGCTTCTTGGGCATGTGTTCAGCTCTTTACAGTCATAAATACTTCCAGCACAAATGGCCTGTGAGCCAAAATAGAACAGCACAGGCTGTGGATTAGATTGTTCCCTGTTGTAAAGTAGTGCAGCAAGGGGTTATAAAATGGCAGTATTGCATAAATATTAGATAGTTCAGTACTGTCATATGGCTAAATGTAAACAAGGAATAAATAGTTCTGTCAAATAATTCATTTCAGAGGATGTTAATTATAATAAACCAGGCCAAACACACAAATGAGTAGATCTGGATTTAGTTCAGTCAAAGAAACTGAAGAGTTAAATCAGTTCTATTTAATAAGTCAGTTGAAACATACCAGCAGGCCTTCTTCTTAGCCTGGTTTTATAATTATTAGAGTCAGAGGAGACTCGTGTTGAAATAGCGGTGTTCCAAGTCTATAAAATGTGGTCACAACTCTGCAAGCTGCAAAAAAGGATATTTTTAGAGAGACTGAACTTAAAGGGCCCCCATTCATTCAGAGGCAAAGAGAAACAAAAACAATGTTTCCTAAAATATGACTTCACCCTGTAAAACAGAAAACAAAAAACACACACCTATGATGCAGTATGCAGCAATTACATTTAAGTTGTTTCACTTTTTTAGTAAACTGTACATTGGTTAAGCCCTTTCTTAAAGGAGAACTATGGGGTCAGTGCTTTTCCCCATAGTTCTCCTAAGGGTCACGGGAGCACATAAACTAACGTCCTCCCTTGACCCAAAGCTCAGTATACCGCAAGCTACAGCTCGCGTTATACTGAGACGCCGCAGCCAGGACAGATCCCGACATTACTGTCGAGATCCACCCAGCTTCGGGATTGACAGCTGGCTCTACCTATCTAGAGGCAGAGCCAGCTGTGCCCTCCCCCGTCCGTTCCGCCAGTCAGCACTGGAGGAGTGGGGAGGGGGGAATCCCTACATGGAGCCGTGAGTGACAGTCACGGCTCTCTGCAGGGACATGATCAAGAAGTGAGCGAGCGAAGGTATGTGTTCGCTCACTTCCCGATCTATTGAGCCGACATGTGACAGTTTAATTGTCACGTCGGCTCGAACTATGAGGTTGAGTGAAAATCACTCAGCTCCTAGTTCTTCTTTAAATACTGACTTGTGTAGAAGTGTGTAATGGGCACATAGCTGTGACTAGGAATTAAGTGAGACATGTATTCACTTCCTCTTTGAACTGCCTGCAAAAACCGTTGATCTGCAAATCCAAAATGCTTCAGTCAGATTTCAAAATTAAAGGAGAACTATGGGGTCAGTGTTTTTCCCCATAGTTCTCCTTAGGGTAACGGGAGGACACAAACTAGCGTCCTCCCGTTACCCTAAGCTCAGTATACCGCGAGCTACAGCTCGCGGTATACTGAGACGCCGGAGCGGATCCCGACTTAGACGGGGTCCGCCCAGCTTCGTGAGTGACAGCTGGCCCTGCCTATCTAGAGGCAGAGCCAGCTGTACCCGCCCCCTCCCCCGTCCGTTCCGCCAGTCAGCGCTGGCAGATCGGAGAGGGGAATCCAGCCCCTCCCCCTGTCACGGCTCTCCGGTATGTGTTCGCTCACCTCCCGATCTACTGAGCCGACCTGTGACAGTCTCATTGTCACAGGTCGGCTAGAACTATGAGGTGAGTGAAAAGCACTCACCTCATAGTTCTACTTTAATATTGAAGCTGGTAAGAGGGTGAACAACTTTTCAACTCTCAGCCAGGCATAGCTGTAGTGTGCTTGCCCACCTGTGCTGTGCTTTTTTTTTTAGTAATCTAGTGGTCTGGGAACCCCTGCTTGTGATGCGAGATAGGAATTCCAAATCACACCTGATATAAAAAAATTTAATTATGAAAGTGGAACTTTCACGCAACATACACAATACATTGTTTACAGGGAAGCTTTTTATTGCAGATGAGACACATTATGGGATCGATTTAGTAAAGGCAAATAAACT